ACGATTCTTGAGATTCGCATTTGAGGGAGTGGCTTATCAATACACGGTCCTTCCCTTTGGACTGTCCCTAGCTCCTCGCACTTTTACACTTTTAGTGCAGGGAAGCGGCTCTTTCCTCGCTGAGACAGACGGGAATCTGCATTCTGAATTACCTCGACGACTGGCTCATTCTGGCCCAGTCGGAGGATGAGCTACTATCTCACAGATCCCTCCTCCTCAGCCACTTAGAATGCCTGGGACTCAGGGTCAATTTTGCCAAGAGCGTGCTGTCCCCCAGCGAACGGATATCGTTCCTGGGAACAGCTTTAGACTCAGCCCAAATGAGGGCGATAGCCACGCCAGAACGTGTGCTGGCCATTCAGGAGCTCGTGGTCTCATTCAGAGTTGGAGCCTCTCGCCCCCTCAAGGTGTTTCAGAGGATGCTAGGCCTCATGGCCTCGGTGTTTCCGGTACTACCGTTGGGCCTGCTCCACATGCGGCCCCTTCAGTATTGGCTAAAACCACGAGTTCCATCCCGCGCCTGGCGTCTCGGACGCCTTCGCATCAAGGTAGACCGGGCCTGTGTATCAGCCGTGGCCCCTTGGAAAGATCCTCGTTGGATGGAACGGGGCGTGCCCCTGGGAATGGTCTGCAGAAGGAAGGTAGTCTCGACAGATGCCTCCAACACGGATTGGGGAGCGCTGTGCGATGGCAAGCCAGCTTTCGGCCACTGGTCGAAAGAGGAAGGCCGGCTTCACATCAACTGCCTGGAAATGCTGGCAGTGTGTCTTGGCCTTCTAACCTTTCTGCCAGACCTAAGGGGACACCACGTCTTAGTCCGCTACGACAGCATGACGGTAGTGTCCTATATAAATCGCAAGGGCGGTCTCTCCTCGAAGCGCCTCTTCGCACTAGTGGAGCACCTCTTGGAATGGACTCAGCTCAACTTGTGCTCGCTGAGAGCAGCGCATATACCGGGCAGGCTGAACCAAGGAGCAGACATGCTGTCTCGGAGCAACGTCCCCTCAAAGGAGTGGACGCTCCACCCTCAAACGGTTCCCGGAACGATATGGCACCCCCAGCCCGAGCTGTGGGCTCTGCACCTTTGGCCTCTCGATCGGAGCTTGCGAACCTCCCGAGAACATGCTAAACACAATCTATCAGGCTACAGCAACGTCTACAAGACGCCTCTACGCACAACCCGCCTCGCCCCATCACTGTCCCTACATGGGATCTGCCCACGGTGTTGAGTGCTCTGAAGAGCCCTCCATTT